ACAGACAGAAATGAAGTTACAGCCTTTGTTTTCCTTGCTGCCTCCAGCCACCATACCGTTTGGCATTCCACAGTGTAAGGCACTGGAACCTGGCTTAGAGAAAAGAGGTACCCTAAGCGCCAGTTCGTGGTGTGCAAAGGAAATCCTGGCATAGATATTTTGAAAGAGATGCTAAAAATATCGTCCCCACCTCTTGCAATCTCTGTCCTTGAGAGACAGGAAAACAAGAAGGCAGAAGATGGTTTGCAAAGGATAAAAATAGGTGCACCTAAATATCATGAGAAAATGACCCATGAAGAAATGGTTATTCTCCAAGAGTCGCACACACTCTGCTCAGAGAAGTTATGAGTCATACTTTACAGGGAGTAACTGGACTTTAATGGACAAAGGGAAGGCAAAGACGTATCAAAATACCCCGTCCCCTTGGAGACAGTGCATTGGTGGTGAATGGAGGACTGCAGATGGCAAGCCCTGTGCTGACAGTGAAGGAGCCTTACAACTCAGCACCTTAAGTGGGGCCACGGGAGGGGGCGCTGACAGACAGACCCACCCCCAGTTTACTCATCCCTCACTGCAAGTACACAGGATGTGGCTAATGCCTCAGACAGCCTCTTATTTCATCTACCATTTCTTCCACTCAGCTGTGCTTCTCCTGAATCCATGTGCCTGCAAATGGCATGTGGGAGATGGAAATTCTTTACTGTAAGAAAATGTTCCTTATTATCATGCTGATAAAATACTGCTTATATTAACATTTGTGAGGGGTGAGAGAGTACAGAAAGAAAATTAAAACGGTAGAAGGTTTTTCTTCAGTTATTTACCACTGTTGACCAAACCTCTATCTTAGCTATTAAAGAGGGCCCTTTTGTCCACTACACTGGACAAGAAACAGTAAGGAGATACAAAAATGAACCCTGCAGCCAGGCCCCTAAAGAGGGCCAGTGCAACTGCTCTATCAGGATGTAGTGTTCTGGGGGCAACAGGTCACAGAAAATTCCCTTTTGTCTGCCATAGCTTATCAAAGGATAATGAAGACTCACCCAAATGCCTGCAGATGTGTCTATAAGCCAGAGGATAAACAGAGCCAGAAATCAAGGCTGTGGGTCATCTCTTCAGAGAAGCAGTTCACGCTTTTAGAAGGCCATTATCACTCCCACACCACTACTGCCATATATACGGAGGTGGCAGTGGTGGTGTATGGGGTTAACATTTTAAGTGGATGAAAGAGACAGGGTAATGTACTTTGAGAGCTGAAGATTTATTTTCCCTTCACGTTTTAGTTGTTTTCTTGGCAAGAGCCCAGGAACGAAGGGAGTCAGGGAGGACTGCTGGTCTGCACAAGCAGCTCTACAGTCCAAGGACAGACTCCTGCTGCTGAGAACCAAGCTGAAGTGACTGGCTTCTCCTTCTACACAAACGAGGTCTTTGGGGCCAAAGTGAAAACTGCAGAGTAATCACTGGGCTAACTGTCCCTTCGTCCCTGGTGTCCCTCAGGATCTGGGCTCAGGGACCCCTAGAAGAACACTAAGCATTTGACTGCAGCCCAGGCCACGAGACAGCAAGCAGGCTACACTTAAGTGTTAAAGTGCTTGTCCTTTTTGTTCTTAGAACCTTCTGAACGAGACTTTCTGACCTCAGCGCCACTGTCACAGAAGGGAGCTCTTTCTCTTTTGAGTTTTGGTGAAGATACACAAAGCCAAACATATACCTATTCAACAATTTCATAAGTGAGGTCTTTCTGATGCAACTTATATGTAAGTCAAACGACCCTGGCAGAGTAAAGAAATAGGATTTACACATACAGGATTTAACTGGGTGGCAGAGGGGAGTACCATATACTTAGAAGTTATTTCCAGGGAGGAAAAGGCTCACAGAAGACCACAGCCCTGAATCTTGATGTGCTTGAGGCAACACATGTTCTGTTCCTAGGTGCAAAAGAGATCCTTTGACTGACTATGCTGACAAGATGGAAGAGAGGACTGCAGAGCCCTTTCTCCACGAAGAGCAAAAGATGTAAGGACTGACGATTTTGGGGAGAAACAAGTGCTCAACCACCTAAAGCTCAAGTCCAGCCACACCACATTCGCGAGAGGCCCAGAGTCCCTCAAATCTCTAGGGAGAGAAGTCTCACTGGCTCTCCAGGATGAGCTGTCACACAAGGCAAACACCTGTGGCCCCCTTGTCCAAGAGATGGAAATGACATTAAACATTCCTGTGGACTTGTAGTCAGGCCTCTGGATCTAGGCCACCTATCAGCAACCCCATTTAGTGAAGAGGTTGCCATCTCTCAGGAGCCCAGAGCATTTGACCATCTGACATCAATGGGTCAGCAAGGTCAGATGTCCTCTCCTCTTTACCACATATGCATATGACATTAGGCAGAGGCAAAGCAATTCTGTGAGAGGCAGGAGAGTCACACTCATCTTCAGCTCTGCCTGTTGAAAAAACTCACACCAGACCAAATTCATACCAACAACAGATTCACTCTGCCTTTATCTGTATGAACCTGGAGACCTCAAGGATGAATTTTAAAGTGGCAGAAAAGAAATATGTACGTCTCAGGGCATTCAGCAAACAAATGCTGCCCCAGAAGATCAAATCTTGCTGGAGTCTCAGGAATGTGGCATCCGTTCACGGCTAAGATACTTCCGACTGCAGGCCTGCATGCTCGCCCCACCCGTGCTCTCCTCCAGCGAGTGCAGCACTGTTCTGTTGGCTCAGAGGGAAAGAGTGCAACATCAAGAGTCAGGAGGCCAGGACTTCCAGCTTTGTTCACTAGCAAGTGGCTGCATAACTTTGGACACAACATCAGATTCACCTCCTACTTCTGGAAAGGACAACTAATTAGTAAAACAGCAATTAGCTAGAGGTTAACAAGAACAGAAAAAAGAGAATCTGAAGTTTTAGAACTATTTCCAGATACTTCTGATGAAACTTCTATTTAAATAATACACTATGATGATGGTATTCTCCAATTTAAATTATGGAGAGGACTTTCATTTTTTAAATTTGGACTTTATTAAGCGATATACTACTTCTATTTTATAGTTAAACAGTAAATTTACCACCACATTTAAGGCAGAAGGAATCGTGTCTGTGCATAAATTAAGCATTTCTTTTGGATTTAATCTCAAACTTTTCATTTACAAAGACAACTTCGGGTGGTACAAATACTATGTACCTGGAACATGACAGGCTACCTGTGCCTCTAGGTGTTCTGTTTCCATCTGCATAGGACAGTTACCTTGCTGTTAACTCCATTTGGCTAAGTGCCCACTCCATTCCACGTCTTTTCACAGCTGTTCTCTGGCTAGGTGACACTTCACTGTCCTCTTTGCCTAGAAGCGGCATATCCCAGCTAGTTAAATGCACATTTCCTTCAAAACAGACATGCCCCCAAACAGAACTCTAATCACATGCCCCCTTAATAAATCAACTAAGACCCTAAAAAGGATGGATACTAAAGTCAGTCATCAATTAGAAAGGGTCTAGTGCTGAGGAAATTGTAAGAAATGTCTAGAAGGGACAGAGAGTCATCCTGATTAAGTAGATCAACCAAGATCTCAAAGAAATGCTACAGAAGGCAGACAGTTGTGAATTTCCAGCTAATAAAATGAAAGGACTTTCTTTAATGATAGTCCCATTAGAGCTAATGCTTTAAGATATCAAGACAGTAAAGGCAACCATTCACTTAAAATCTCTCATAGTATTTAGTTTATACTTAAGGGGGAAGGGGGGAAAAAAAAAACCCAAAACAGAATAGAGCTATCTATATTCGAGAGAGAATGAAGTGTTGGGACCACACAGCAGTCTGTGATGTTTCAGTTTTACCTTCAGAAAACAGAGACACTGCTTGAAAGTGTGCAGGGCCATCTTGTGGTACACTACTTTCTAGTCCATAAGATACGAAGGGATCCTAGATGAGAACAGCAAAGCCTGGGAAGAGACGAGGAAGCACTTCAAGGCTTCTGTGACTCACCCTCACACCATGCACACTCCAGGAGAGCTGTGTAGGTCATCTCTGTGTGGCTCAGTCTGCTCCACACCAGAGAAAGCAAACTTGGCATTCTAGCAGCTCTCTGGCCTTAGCGTGGCCAGCACAGTTTAGTTACTCAACCAGGATGACATGCTACCCCTTCTTCTCCCTGTTTTCACGGGAGAGAGACTGATGCTGAGTCTCTCTGATGGTGCAGAGGGGATAGAGAGACTGTACTGTCAAATGTCCCTGGAGGACAGGAAAACTGAGGTGGGTGCCTGAACTCGGAACAGGTGAAAGAAAAGCAGCACTGTTCAACAGCAGAAAACCCAACTTAGTGTGGTGTACTTTCTGAGGTCAGATGCTTCAGCTGTGAAAAGCAACACAAAAGGCAACATGGTTTTTCCCTTCCAAACACTGTGGCTTACTTGTTTACTCAGCTCAAAACAAAACAAAACAATAAACCCACAGCCACTCATTACAGAAATTAACAAGAGATGAGTAAAACTGTAGGCAGGGCTGTCCCAGCCCAAAGCTCTTGACAAGGGTTTCCTCAGGAAGGGTCAAGATGGGGCCAGTTAACTGCTCTTCTCTGCTGTAGACCAGAGATCATCCATGCCAAGCCTCTTGTCAGTGAGGTAGATGACTGTCCTCTTGCTAGAGGTATCAAAGTGCCAAGCCCACTGTACAACAGCCAGGGGAGAGTGGTCTGCCTGGCTGAAAGGCACAAGCTGTTCCACAGGGCCAAGGCCGACATCTAGCAACTCCACCCAACTAACAGGTCTCCCAGAGGAAAGTCAGCCCCCGGGAGATGACCTCCTGCCCCGAGGCCTGCACAACACCAGCGCTGCCTGCTTGAAGACACAGTATGTGAGGTCAGCCTGTTCCCTTAACTCCCTTCCACAAGGAGCCTGCTCCTGTCCTGCCTGTCAGATGTATTTCCTGCCACCACAGGAATCTGAGATGGGTGGGGGGGGAAAGGAAGAAAAGCCCAGAGGAAGGATCAGGAGAGGACGGACGCAAAAGGAGGAGATGGAAGGAGAGAGGCTTCCAAGCAAAAGGACTTAAAGTAGGTCAAGTGTGAAATTACATCAAGGAGGGCAGATGGAAGGTGAAGGATGGAAAAGAAGAGGGAAGGGATCAGAAGAAAGATGCTAAGGTGTCCTTCTCTGGGGATGAACTGATGGGGGAGGAGGCAAGACTGTCCTAGCATTACTTCCCGTGGAAATCACTTAGCTCCATGTCATCCTTTCGGCGTTTGTGAGTGAAGAGGGAGCTGAAGGGGTAGAGCTTGGCTTTGGCCTGGAACCGGTGGCCCGCAATATCAATCTCATACTCTCCCCGGTTGATGAAATCTGCTGTCACCACCTGCTCCTCCCCGGTGTCCTCAGAAAAGTTGTGCACAAAGCCCAGGCACACGTGGCGCTCCAGGGTGAAGCTATAGGCACTGCTGGTGGTCTTGCCGACATATTGCCCGTTTCGGTAAATGGGCTCTCCCCACCAAGGCCAGAGGTCCAGGTCTGTGTCGTGGTCATCCAAGATAAACATAGTGAAGCGCTTATACACCCCATTCTGCTTCTGCTGCAGCAGGGCATCCCGACCGATGAAATCCATCCCCTAGGAAAGAGGAAACGTTGGGCTGGGATAGGAAATTACTCACTGAAGCTCTCTGAAAGGATAGGTCCTTCTGACAAAGGGGACAGTGAGAGTGGGTAGGGCTGAGGTTGGAAACAGACTCATTTTCATTGTATACTCTTTTTTAAAAAAAAAATAAAAAACATGTTCATATATTACTTTAAAAAGAAACAAAGATTGGCAGCTAATTGTGAGATGGCCAATTTGTAGAAATACTCATAGCCTGTTAATTAACTATCATAATCAACTCAGGAAAATTCCACAAAGAGCACCCAGCCTAAAAGAGCACTGGGAAACAAGTACTACCCATTTAATGTTCTCATGTTCCTTTGTTTTATGGCGCTGGTAAGATTTTGGTCTAAGGATAGCCTAATCATCCTTACAAGAATACTCCACTTTATTGTGCTTCACAGATACTGCACCTTGACAGACTGAAGGCTGGTGGCAACCCTGCGTCGAGCAAGCAAGTCTGCTAGCATGTTTGCCAAAAGCACGTGCTCACTGTGTGTCTCGGTGTCACATTTTTGGTCATTCTCACAGTATTTTAAACTCTTTCATAACGTTATTGCACACTTTAAATAGACTACAATATAGTGTAAACATAAATTTTACATGTACTGGGAAACCAAAAATTTCGTGTGACTTGCTTTCTGGCGATACTTGCTTTATTACGGTTATCTAGAACTGAACCCACAGCGCGTCCAAGGTCTGCCTGTATTTTTACCTGATGCTCACCACCTTTCTTCCCACATCAGCTCGTCTTCCCATTCTAAAGCCGATTTCACCCCTCAGGGGTCTGACAGACAGACTGCAGTGCGACAATATACAGTACCTTCTCTAATTTCACCCGAAACTCTCGTCCACATTCCAGGGGTGTGGTGTAGGTATTTAAATCCTGACCCCAGAAGGCAAAAAACTTCTCAATTCGGAGACTGCGAAGAGCGTAATAGCCAGCATTTCGGATTCCGTACTTCTGCCCAACACTCATCACTTCATTGTATACATGCAGGGCATACTACAGGGAGAGACAGAAGGTCAGTACTGAGCAGACACTTCAGAACTGGACATGGAGTATGTCTGGGAGTGTCTGATGACTGCCATATGAACTTGACAAAGGAGAAGGTTTTCTTCCTAGGATGTCTCATTCTCCACAGCCCAGGGGTAAGTAGTGAGCTACCGTCACCCTGGCGGGCTGGCAGGCAGCCTGAAGTCTGACAGCTCTGCCAGCACTAGCTACAAGGACAGAGAATCTTTAACACTGCAGAATCATTTATCATAAAGGGCTGGGACCACCACACTGTTTATGAGCACCAGATTAGTTAAATAAATAAATATGACTCAACTATGATGGAATAATGGGACAATGCTTTACAAAATGATGGTGGAAGCTCTTTCTCTGCAGGAATTAACATGGAAAGAGCTAAGATAAATTGTTAATTGGGAAAAAAAAAAAGATGAGAATAGCAGTATGCTATTGTTTGTGTTTTTAAAACGAGGACTGACCTGGAAGAACCTAAAGTCTACTGGCATGAGAAAGATTTGGAACCTTGAGGTGAACCTCTCCTGAAGTTATCTTCAAACAAGTAGGAATTTGGCTGAATGAGTCGAGAATGCTCACCTTGAGCACCGCGCTCTTTTTAAAGAGTCATTCTATCCCATCAAATGACAACAGCCACTCTAACACACAGGTGAGCAGCTTATGGGGCAGCGATTCTAAGTCAAGGGTGGTGAAACAACATGGAGAGAGAGGGAATGGTGAGTAGGTGTTATCTGCTGAGTACACCGTCACCAAAATAAAATACTGGGGGAGAAAAAAAAGGGAGTAAGAGTGTCTTTGATTTTGCTTACATCTGCATACAAATCTGGTTGTTGTTGTTGTTATGTGCCCTTGAGTCGGACCCGACTCAGTGACCCCTCCTTGGGTTTCTGAGGCAGTATCACTACGGAAGTAGATTGCACCATCTTACTTCCGAGGAGTTGCTGGTGGGTTTGAACCACAAGCCCTCTGGTTAGCAGTCCAGTGCCTTAGGCACTATACTACCAGAGCTCCCTAAAAATCTGGTAAGACATGCCAAAAGCTAATCGCAGTATCACTAGTGGTGGCTGCTGGTAGCAAAAGGTCAGACAGCACTGACTGAATACTTTTTAGTGTTTTTTTTTTTTAAAAAAACAACCCAAGTGAATTTATTACCTTTAAGAATTTAAATAACTCAGTTAAGCATTTGAAAATCTCTTCAGTGCAGCCCAGCCCAATCACAAAGGCCAATGACACACAGCTATCCCCTCCGGGGGTTCTGGCAGCGAGGGGAACCTCTCACCTCGATGGGAATGTACAGCATGAAGCCTGGCTCTCCCGTGTGAGTCATGCTCATCACCCGGATGCCGTTGGCATAGCCCACACTCATCTCCTGAGAAAACAAAGGAGAATGTCAGCCTTGGAAACTCTTCAGGGGAAGTGGGCACTCAAACTGTATCTTCTGAAAGAAAAAATGCTCAAGGTAACCCCTACTCATTACTTCTGTGCCCTAAAGAAGACACGTGTAAATGGCAGAATTGCATCCCGACCATGGCCTTTCCAGGAACTGAGGCTTCTGAGAATGAAGCACAGCCTTTACAGTATCTTTTCTCACGAGATTCCCAGGAGCCCTGGTGGCCCAGTGGTTAAAGTGCTTGGCTGCTGAAAGGTTGGGCGTTTGAATTCATACCTACACCTTGGGAGAAAGATGGGGCAGTCTGCTTACATAAAGACTGGAAACCCTATGGACCAGTTATACTCTGTCCTACAGGGTCATTATGAGTTAGAAGAGACTCTGTGGCAATGGGTTTCGTTTTTAGTTTTAGTTCTCATGTAATTCACAATGTCAGGAGTTTGGGACAAGTTGATGGGGCAAGTAGAGGCAATGTCTTTGACACACATGAAACACTTCCATTTGCAAAGTCCTGCTAAAGACACTGTTTTAGTCAGGGCCTTTGGAAGCATGAAGATGAGAGGGTCTCTGCAGACAAATCATGGGCACCTGCTACACAAAGTTGATGCCTGATGCCTAGAGAACAGAAGTCACCCGTGATCCTGGGCTCAGAGCTCTGGCTTCTGATTTTTAAAGAATGTTTTAGCAGCTTAGCTACCTAACAGGAATCACTGGCTTAACTACCGCCCCCATAAGGGAAAGTGGGGAGTCCCAAAGGGCACAAAAGCATACTGCTTCCTTAGAAGCCTGACACGAGGTGACACTCACTCTCTAGGGGCAAGTTTATGAATCACTCCTTCCTGAAACCAGAGAGCACCAGGAAGGCTTTGCTGATGACTGACTAAGGAAAGTTTCCTTTGCTCTCCCTTTGCTGTGGGGAAAAAGGAAAACTGTAAAAAAAAATTTGTGGTTGGATTCCAACTCTGACATGAACTTCAAAGAGCCTCCATAAGTAACTGTTTCCGACTTGCACCTTAGAGGTTGGATCTCTGTTATCAATTGCTTTCTATTCAGTTTGCATTTCTTTTATTAATTTATAATTTATTTCATTCAGCTATAGTGACAAAAACTCAAACTCACTGCCATCAAGTTTATTCTCACTCACAGAGATCCTACAGGACAGAGCTGAACTGCCCCATAGGGTTTCCAAGATTCTAAACCTTTACAGAAGCAGACAACCACATCTTTCTCCTCCAGAGTGGCTGGTAGCTTTGAACCACTGGCCTTCTGGTTAGTAGCTGGAAGCTTTTAACCATCGTGCCTCCACAGCACCTTCCACTCAGCTATAGTTGTCCTTTATAAGAAAGAAAATTATGTAAGTTGTTTAAGGATTCACCTAAACGTTTCTTACTAGAAGATGCCATGTACAAGGAAGTTACCCTATATATGAAAAAAAGGAAGCACTGCACAGAGCAAATGGGTCCTAAAAACCAAACCAAACTCACTGCCATGGAGTTGATTCGACTCATAGCAATGCCTCCTTGGATTTCCGAGGCGGTATCACTACAGAAACAGATTGCTCAGCCTTCCTTCCAAGGAGTGGCTGGTGGGTTTGAACCACTAGCTTTCTGGTTAACAGTCAAATGCCCTACCAAAAACCAAACTCACTGCCACGGAATCGGATCTGACACACAGTGACCCCTCCTTGAGTTTCTGAAGCAGTATCACTACAGAAATAGGTTGCCCAACCTTCCTTCTGAGGAGTGGCTGGTGGGTTTGAACCGCCAGAATTCTGGTTAGCAATCAAATGCCTTAGGCACTATAGCAGAGCTCCCGTCAAATGCCTAGATGCTACATTTTTGGTGTCATTTTCATAATCCTGAAATGTAAAATTTTAATCTACTACTACAGAAACTTATGAATATATAGCACTAACATTCAGATAATTTAAATTCACCTTAAAGACATCCAAATGCTTACTAAGTAAGGAAATCTTGAAGGAGAAAGAAAAAGGAAATAAAATTACTCAGTTATTGCTTGTTTGCTTAAAGGTCAAAACACTTTGTGAGTGTAGCACCATGATGATATGTAACTATAATTATTATACACCTACTCCTCACTTATTGACTACCTTATTATCTGACACTTTGCATTTATGACAATGGTATCCAACTATTTTGTGCACTGATGATATACATGTGGTAGTAACAAACTTCAAGGTACAAAAGCGAGAGTAATGCTGGCTGTGACGGTTCAGTTTATGTGTCAACTCGGCTAGACCATGATTCTCATTGGCTTGGTAGTATATATGTAACGATGAAATGAGAAAGTGATGTAATGACGTAGTCATCCTCCATTTTTTTTTTGAAACTAGGGTTTATTTTCCATTAATCTTATTTCCATTTTCTAAGAGATAGTGGAAGATAGGTCAGGACCACTCAGTGGTTATTCTTAGCCTCTCAGTGGCCTGAGCAGTGAGGCTGTAGACCAGTCTTCAGTTGCAGGCTAAGCACTCCAGTCTGCAGTGGGCAACTGCTGAAAGGCAGAGAGGGCACCTGCACGTCCTCAGGCCAGTCTGTGACCCTGGGCTGAGCAGCAGTGAATTCAGGATCGGGAGCAGTCCATTAACCCTGAAATTTGTCCTTGGTCACACCTTTTCAGGAACAGCCTGCTTGTCCTTTTCAGGAACAGCCTGCTTGTCCTTTTCAGTATCTTCCAGATCTCTGTGCAAGTAGAGATCAGCATCACCTCCCACAGCTGTTCTTGGGAGATGACGCTAGACGCGCGCAGAACTTTCCGACACAGCATTCACATTATACTGACTGAGCAAGCTCCCTGGCTGCTGCGTGGGATGGCAATGTCCATGCAGCCCAGAGGAGAATCTGTGTTGTACAGAGCAATGGTGGGCAAGCTGATCTAAGATTCTCTGTGAGAAGCTGAAGGTCAGCCCTGGGATCAGTAACCACTAGAAGACGTGGCTCCTGGAAGGCTGCTTAGATCTGGTCAGTGAAGGGTCCAGGTGTGAAGTGCCAGCAATAGGTAGGAGTGGCTCCAGTGGCAGCAGTGAACTTCAGCACAGCCCACCGGTATCCGTGTCATCAGTTAGGTTTTCGATGGCAACAGTGGCCCGAGCTGCCAACAGAAGCTTCTCCCTCGTGCTCTTCAGGTTTATGGTGTAGATGCCATCACTTTCCTTCACACATACACTGTCCCATTTGGAGGTTAAGGCTGGTGCCACTTAAGTGGATTCCTGTTGCAAGGAATTTGAGGACATCCTCCTCCTTCATCTGCAGGACATCAAGAGCTCCAGACATTATGAAGCTTCCCCTTTAACTTATGATGGGAACCCAGGACAACATTGTATGGACCCTTGTCCGGGTGGTACGGGAAGCTCATTCTCCACTTTTACATGATGCTGATTTTCGCATACGCCTTGGTCTTTCAGAACCTGACCATGTCAGTCAGTGAGGAGTGGATGCAAAATAAAAACTCCCCAATGTAAAATAAAAACTCCCCACCAGTTTGAAAACAGAACTTTACTAGCACCCACCTTGCAAAAGAGGCTTGGGAAGTGGTCAGGAGTCATAGGAGCATAGGACAACTCAGACAGAACATCCACAGCTCGGGGGCCAATCAGATTGAGGGCTAAACAGAAGAGAACAAGTTTTTTTTCCAGGTGAACAGCTGGGGTGATGGGAAGGTTCTTTCTGGATTTGCTCACCTAGGGCCAGGCCTGGTGGTAAGTCCACCCCTGTGCACAGCAATCAAAGTGTGGACACACTGCATTCCAATTTCTCTCTTTACTGGCAGGCCTGTGAAATGCAGCGACCGCCATGACAGAGCCTGGACAGTATGTTTCCTCTTCCTGAGTACACAGCAAGACAGCATTTCACAGCCTCTTTTGCAGTTAGCATGGGATTACAAGACCAGATCATTGTCAATGGGTATGAGCCCTTTTCTCGGACTGGCCATCACCCTTCTTCCAATCCCTGTTCTCTTTCCCTTCCCCAGTGACTTTAAAAGCCACAGGTTCCCAATGGTGAAAAAACGTGATGGGAAAAACCCTGATTCCAATGAGTGCCTGAAGGAGGGACAGCCAACCCACCCTCGACTCTGAAGCTTGTGATAGCAGCTGGTACTAGTTCCACATCAACTCTACAGTATAGGCTAGTCCTGGAAAACTTCTGTCCAGTAAGTCTGTGGCTTGCCAGTCTGGTGGCAAGAAATCAATCATGTTCGCTACTACAAGGAATTGAGAATGAGGGACTGGGAGTGCAAACACTGGGGGCAAAGGACAGCAGAGAGTTAAGTGGGCAGTAAGGAGGGGTTGACCTGGAGTGGGGAGGGTGGGGTTTACCTGGACTAAGGAGGTAGAAAAAGGGGCAGCTCCCCTGTCACTCACTGACCCATTACTGCTGAAGGAAGAAATTGTTATTACTTAAAAAAACAAATAATAAGGGAAAAGTCTGAAGAAAATATTATTTCATTTTATACTTCATTCATAAAATAGGGAGAGTATTTTAGAGATCACTTTTCTATGACCAGAGAGCCTCTTTCACACTCATTTTGACCTTCCTCTTTGAATGTCAAGTATCAAAAGGCACATGGCCAAGGTAACCTGAACTCCTGGCCTTTCCCTGCTCAGTGGGCTCTCAAAGGCCCCTTACCAGTGTATTTCCAGCTGACATCCTCCAGCAGCAGGTTACTGTCTTTTGGCATGTGTTTCTCAAGCCAGGACCAACAGTGGACCTGCTGGTCAGTCGGAGAAATCATGAAGAAACTGAAAGCGAGATCCAAGAGTAATCAAAACCGGGTAACAAAAATGATTTGAGAAGCAATCATGCTTTCATCTAGGTTTTTTTTTTTTTTTTAAAGAATTTATTTTTGTTGTTGCTGATGAGAATACTGAAATCTGACAATTTCTACCTGTACAATTCTGTGACACTGATTACGTGCTTTGAATTGTGTAACCATTCTCATCTTCCTCGTCTGAACTGATTGATGCTTCCTCATTAACATAAACTTACTGCCCACTAAGCCTCCCATCTCATCTTGCAAGGTGTTGTGGTCCATCTGATCTCATGTAGCTAGATCTTAAAAGAGCACAGTGCTCAAGATAGAGATTCTTTATTTGTTATGCTTAATTATGATTTTGTTTTAAGAAGACTTCAGAGGATATTTTTGGTTTAAAGTTTATCTCAGGGCAATAGTTCCAGGGTCATCCAGCTGCAAATGCACCAGAAAATCGGATTTCATGAGAATTTGAAACTCTGTTCTGCATTCTGTCCTTTTTGATCAAGACTCTTCTACAGGATCTTTGATCAAATGTTTAGTAATGGTAGCTAGGCACCATCAAATTTTTTTTCGTCTCATGGCAATCTATTACTAGTGATCGGAATACAAAAATTGGAAACAAACAAGAATCACCAGTAGTTGGAAAATATGGCCTTGGTGATATGCTGGAGACCGTATGATGTAATTTTGCAAGACCAATGACTTATTCATTGCAAATACCTTTTTTCAACAACATAAACGGTGGATATCACCAGATACAGTACATAGGAATAAGAATGATTAAATGTGGAAAGAAGCAATGGAGAAGGCTCAGTTTCTTCAGTCTAAACAAGCCAGGAGCTGACTGTGGAACAGACCATCAACTGCTCATACGTAAGTTCCAGTTGAAGCTGAAGATGATTAAAACAAGTCCATGAGAGCTACAATATGACCTTGATTACATCCCTCCAGAATTTAGAGACCATCTAAAGAACAGATTTGATGCACTGAACACTAGTGACCCAAAACCAGAGGAACTGTGGGATGACACCAAGAACATCATTCATGAAAAAAGCAAAAGGTCATTAAAAAGACAGGACAGGAAAAAAAGACCAAAATGGATGTCAGAAGACACTGTGAAACTTGGCCTTGAATGGAAAGTAGCTAAAGCGAATGAAGAAATGACAAGATAAAAAAGATGAACAGAAAATTTCAAAGAGCAGCTTGAGAGGACGAAATCAATTATTATAATGTAATGTGCAAAGACCTGGAGTTAGAAAACCAACAGAAAGAACACCCTCGGCATTTCTCAAGCTGAAAGAACTGAAGAAAAAATTCAAGCCTCAAGTTGCAATATTGAAAGACTCTATGGACAAAATATCAAATAATGCAGGAAACATCAAAAGATGAGGGAAGGAATTTGGTCACTGTACCAAAAAGAACTGGTCGATGTTCATCCATTTCAGGAGGTGGCACATGATCAAGAACCAGTTATATCAAAGGAAGAAGCTGAAGCTGCACTGAAAGAACTGGTGAAGAACAGAGCTTCAGGAGCTGATGGGATACCCCCTAAGCTGTTCCAGCAAACAGATGTCATGGTGGAAGTGCTCACTCATCTGTGCCAAGAAATGTGGAAGATAGCTGCTTGGCCAACTGACTGGAAGGGATCCATATTTACACCCATTCCAAAGAAAGGTGATCCCCCAGAATGTGGAAATTATCGAACAGTATCATTAATACCACATGCAAGAAAAATCTTGGTGAAGATAACTAAAAAACAGTTGCAGCACTCATTTTATTGACAGAGAACTTCCAGAAATGCAAGCTGGATTCAGAAGGGGATGTGGAATGAGGGATATCATTGGTGATGTCAGATGGATCTTGGCTCAAAGCAAAGAATACGAGAAAGATGTTTATTTGTGCTTTGTTGACTATGCAAAAGCATTCGATTGTGTAGATCATAACAATTTATGGGTAAGACTGAGAAGAACGGGAATTCCAGAACACTTAATTGTGCTCATGAAGAACCTATACAGAGACCAGGAGGCTGTCGTTCTAAGAGAACAAGGGGATACTGCATGGTTTAAAATCTGGAAAGGAGTGTATCAGGGTTGTATCCTTTTACCATATTTATTCAATCTGTATGCTGAGCAAATAATCTGAGAAGCTGGACTATATGAAGAAGAGTGTGGCATCAAGATTGGAAGAAGACTCATTAACCACCTGCAACATGCAGACACCACCACTTTGCTTGCTCAAAGTGAAGATGACTTGAAGCACTTATTGAAGATTAAAGATGCCAGTCTGCAGTATGGATTACATTTCAACACAAAGAAAATGAAAATCTTCACAACCAGACCAATAAGCAGGATCACGATAAATGGAGAAAAGTTGTCAAAGATTTTGTATTACTTGGTTTCACAATCAACACCAGTGGAAGCAGCAGTTAAGAAATCAGACAACATATTGCACTGGGCAAATCTGCTGCAAAAGGCTTCTTTGAAGTACTGAAAAGCAAAGCTGTCTCTTTGAAAACTAAGGTGTGCCTAACCTAAGCCATGGTGTTTTTAATCACCTCACAGGCATGTGAAAGCTGGACAATGAGTAAGAAGACTGAAGAAGAGTTGATGCTTTTGAGTTGTGGTGTTGGTGAAGAATACTGAAAGTGCAATGGACTGCCAAAGGAACTAACAAATCTGTCCTAGAAGAAGTGCAGCCAGAATGCTCCTTGGAAGCAAGAGTGGCCGCTTTGTCTCACCTACTTTGGTCACGTTATCAGAAGGGACCATTCCTTGGAGAAGGATATCATGCTTGGTAAGTAGGGGGCCAATGAAAATGCATTGACAATGAGATGGACTGACACAGTGGCTGCAATGATGGGCTCAGGTATAGCAAAGATTGTAAGGCTGGTGCAGGACTGGGCAGTGTTTCATTCTGTTGTACACAGGGTGGCTGTAAGTTGGAGCTGCACTGATAGCACCTAACAACAACATGGCAAAGAGGGCAGTTGCTCACAGAGGCAATTAGGTACACATTCCATTTCTTCCTCTCATTCCTGACTCTGCTTCTTCCCCTGTTGCTCCAGGAAAATAGAGACCAAGAAATACAGGGTAGAATAGAAGAACTAAGCACATTATTATGCCAATTAACTGGGATGTCCCATGACACCATGACCCTAAACCTCCAAACCAAGGAACCAAAGCCCATGATGTATTTGCTTGTACATAAGCAGTCTCACTAGCTACTCTTTTTGTAAACATAGCTATCATACAACTTTTGCCAATTAAGGCACTTGACAGCTAACCAGGAGGCTGGCAGTTCAAACCCACCAGCCACTCCTCGGAAGGAAGATGGGGCAATCTACTTCCGTAGTGATACCACCTCGGAAACCCAAGGAGGAGTCGCTATGAGTCGGGGCCGACTCGACGGCACTAACAACAACAAGTGATAATCCCCATTTCCCCTCCCGACCATCCCTGGTAACGACTGATAAACTCTGGTTTTCTCACACTTGCCTGTTCTTGTCTTGTCATGTGAGTGAGTCATACAGGATTTGTTTTTTTGTGATTGACTTATTTCACTCAGCATGTCTTCAGGTTCCATCCATACTGTATATTATCTATCAAGACTTCATCTCTCTTACTGGCTGAATATATCACATTGTATGTGTGTAATACATTTATTTATCCATTCACCCATAGATGCATGCTGTTGTTGTGAATAGTGCTACAATGAACACTGGGTACAATTATCTGTTTAAGTCTCTGCTTTTAAGTGTTTTGAGTATATATCTAGCAGTGAGAGTGCTGGGTCATATGGTAGTTCTATTTTTAGTTTTTTTTGAGGACCTGCCACCATTTTCCACAATAGCTGTATCATTTTACATTCCCACCCGCAATGGATGTCATATTTCCCCACATCCTTGTCAACAGCTGTTTTTTTTTTATCTTAATTAACCATCCTAATGGACGTGTAATGGTTATCTCATTGTGGTTCTGATTTGCGTCTCTCTGACAACTAATGATGTTAAGCATCTTTACGTGTGTTTGGTGGCCATCTGAATGTCTTCTTTGATGAAATATCTATTCAAGTTCTTAACTCATTTTTTGATTGGGTTATTTGTCTTTTTGTTGTTAAGCTGAAGTTGTATATATATTTTGGTCATAAGGTTCTTATTGGATGTCTAGTTTCTTAAGATATTTTCCCAGTTGCTAGCTTATCTTTTTACATGTTTTGTGTATTTTCATGAGCACATGTTTTTAATTTTCATTAGGTCTTATTTACTTAGTCTTTTGCTATTTGTGCTTTTGTTATTTTATTAGCTAATCCATTGTTAAAAGGTAAGCCTAACTAAGTGTGCATTTTCATCTAAGAATTTTGTAATTTTACTTTTCACATTTAGACCTTTAATCTTTTATTTTGTATTTGCTTTTATGTATGGTTATCAGGCACAGATCCAGCTTCTGAATTTTTCTCAATGTGGAAATCCAATTTTTATAACATCATTTATCAAAGAGAGTCTTTTTTCCCCTATCAAATGGATTTTGCACCCTTGTCAAAAATCATTTGACCATAGATGTGTGGGTTCTCATCTAGTTTTTTAAAAGCAGTATTTTGTTGTGTTTTAGGTGGAAGTTTATATAGCAGTTTTCTATACAAATTATTCTGTGCCATTGGTTACAATTTTTTATAATAAGTATTCTCATGATTTCCATTCTGCTTGTGCTGTTTTCATTGATCTAGCTCCCTGCCACTCCTTGCCTTCATGTTTGCTTTTGGGGTAACTGCTGACTGGTCTCATGTAGCTAATTGCTTAAAGGACCACAGTACTCAGGGGTGACTATTTTATACACCAGTCTACAACTGGCAGAAACATGACCTACACTGAAGCAATGAGTAGAACAGGAGCAAATCATTGCTTAGGTTTCAGGGAGGTGAGGAGCACCATCCTAAGACTTCTCACATAATGACAAAACAGAAGATTTTGGCTTCCTGTTAATGCCAAAAAAATTATGCAGAATTACTAACTTAAGATATGACAACTTTCCCAGTGGGACAACCAACTCTTTTATATTGAGTTTTACATAATTTGGTGGGTTTCTCCTTTTTTTCCCCCTAATTTCTTTTTGTATTGTGCAGTTAGTGAACTGGGTGGGAATTAATGTGTTTTTTTTTCTTCCCTTCAGTCTAATTATGGTTTCCTGGAAAAATGAGTTAGGGTCTCTGCTCTGCCACAGTGCCCTTAGGGCTCAAGGAGCCATTGCAGAAGGAGCAGAGCAGGGTGGTGGTGAAGCTCACCTGCGCTTGTTCAGCCGGGCGATGCTGCAGTCATTCTCATAGCCGCCGCCCTGGTTGAGCATGCCGGTATGCACGATGTGGCCCACGGGCACATCGAGGTCATTGGAGAAGAGGTACTGCAGAATTTCCAATGCCTGATCCCCAGTGGACTGCAGGGTTAGGGAACAAAGCAGAGAAAAGTGAGCAGTGAGCACAACAGCTTCTGGCTGGGTAACCCTGCCTGAGGAGCGATGCAGCTTACTCAGAGCGTTCCATTAGCCAGCACCCACACAACAACGTCTATAGATATTCACTCTACTGCAAGAAGGTCGTGGGCAAGTTAGCTATCAACTGATGATAAATGAGCCTCTCTAAACAAATTAAAAACCAGAAACAAAGAGTTTAAAATTCAGAAAAATGTTATACTGCAGTTGAAACATTAAAATATCCCAGCCAAGGTACAGATAACAAAGATGAACCCATTTGCACTTACAGTACTGCGTTGTCAGTGAAGGCAAACATGGGTATACAGGTGGATAGATGGGTAGACAGGCTGAATTATTAGGTACGTCTATGAAATGGGGGGAGCTCTGGTAGCATAGTGGCTAAGGCACTTGACTGCTAACCAGAAGGCTAGCGGTTCAAACCCACCAGCCACTTCTTGGAAGGAAGATGGGGCAATCTACTTCCATAGTGATACTGCCTCGGAAACCCAAGAAGGGGTCACTATGAGTCGGGTCTGACTCAACGGCACATAACAACAACAACAACGACATGAAGTAGGGAGTGTACCCAAGACCCTGTATAGGGTTGGCAGACAATGGTCCTATAAGTGTATTTGTATGATCTGTAAGAATTCCCATGTGTATAGTAGAAATGACAAGGGACAAGGTTGTAGTCACTTCTTGGTCACAGCCATCGACCCAGAGGGACCGAGTAGTTGAACCGGTGGGCTCGGGACCATAGTCGCAGGGGACATCAAGCTCAATTGGCATAACATACTACACAAAACATTGTTCCACCTCCTACTTTGGCAAGCAACTGGGATCTTAAAAGCTTGCAAGTAGCCACCTAGATGCAACAATGGGTCTCTCCTCGTCTAGAGCAAAGAAGAATGAAGAAAACCAAAGATTCATGGAAAATAATTAGTCCTAGTGACTGGTACACCATGAGATCTGCAGCCTATGTGACTATGAGACCAGAAGAACTAGATGGTGCCCAGCTACCACCGTCAGCCACTTGGAGTGGGATCTATGTAGGAGATCCTGGATAGAGAGGGAAAACAATGTGGAACAAAACTCAAAATCATTCAGAAAAAAAAAGGGACCAGGTTTGCTGATCTGATAGAGCCTGGTGGAACCCCTCAGACTATAACCCCTAGCTGCCCTTCAGGTCTGGAACCGAACCCATACCTGTGGCTTCCAAACAAAAGACAGGCATATTAGTTGAACATTTACCTGAGGTAAATACACTCCTTAGAGAGATCAATCATGGGAGAAAGAGGGCTGCTTATGCATAGGAAGACAGCTCACGGGGCAGGAGTGCATGGAGGGATGGACATAGCGAAGAGGTAACTACTGGGAGGAAGTGGGAGAGGAGCTGTTGCATTGGGGTAAATTGTAGTCAATGTCATGAGACAAAGTATATGTGAACTGCTGTATGGAAAATGAAATTTCCCTGTAAAACTTCCCCAAAAACCAAAAAAAAAAAAAAAAAAACTCAACCCACTGAATCAGTTTTGAATGAAGATAGGAAACAGGAGGCATGACTTACTGTTATTTCAAACTTTGTAAAAGAGGACATGTCAATGACACACACAGCCTCCTTACAGCACTTGACTTCAGACTCCACAATGTCAAACCAATCCGGCTTATAGAAGGTCTTACTCTGTTCCAAAGCCAGGAGGTCTATGGAACAGGAAAATGAAAGGTAGAAAGAAAAGGATGGGATTCACAGTTGGGACTCTCATTGTACAAGTTTACTTGTAGCAAAAGGGTTTTAATTACTTATTCTTCTAGGAACACAATCTACCTATGTACCTTTTAAAATAAGGGTTACTAATTTTCAAGACAAAATAAAACAATACAACAACAAAAACGAGGATGCGACTTCTTACCTTTATCAGGTGGAATAAAGTACTTTGGCCTCTCGAATCCGTGTTTCTCCATCCACTGGGCTCCCTGTGCATCTAACCGGTCATAGAGAGGAGATGTGCGAAGTTGCCTCCCAGTCTGGAAGTCCCAACGGGGAACTTTTAGATCATATAACAGAGCTAGAACAGACAGGAACAATCCATGAAAGCCCAAACTAAAGAGTCTAGTGTGAAATTCCCAACATCTGCCAAACTCTGGAGTCGTTCCTAGTTACCATGCTAACGTAACCTAATATGCCAAATATTACCAAGAATCACAGACATGCTCCCAAAGAAAGCTGCTATTTATCTATCCCTTCTCAAATTATATAGCTACGAGTCACATAATGACTCTAGATCTCTATTTATAATTATACTTCCAAATTTAGGGAGAAACAGTGAGAAAAAGGTCATACTTCTAAAATGTCCTAAGCTCCATAGCAGAGATAAAGGTGGGACACAGGCAGTTATAAAGTGTGAAAAAAATGACACACGCTCTTTATAATGCCACTGTTGTTGGCTTTCAGACCTGGTATAGACATTTCCTCTCTACCACTTCACCCATTTCTGGAGTGAAAGGGCACGTGTCACATAGTTTGATTTGGTAGCTCTTTAGAGCTGAGAGGTTACACAGTATTGTCCCAGTAACGACATTCACATAACAAAACTAGGGTCAGAACTCACTTCTCCTAATATCCAATCTGCAACAGCAATCAGTAAAAACAGGCAGAAAGTGTATGACCTCTACCAAAACCAAAACCAAAACCAAAACCAAATTCACTGCTTCTGAGTCGAATCTGACTCATAGTGACCCCTCCTTGGGTTTCCGAGGTGGTATCACTACAGAAGTAGATTGCCCTGTCTCCTTTCCGAGGAGTGGCTGGTGGGTTTGAACCGCCAGCCTTCTAGTTAGCAGTCAAGTGCCTTAGGCACTACGCCACCAGAGCTCCTTTCTAAGGGAAAGGGCTTTCTGAGGGTTTAGTGGAAAATAAATCAGGGACAAGGTGGATAAAGAAGTTAAATAAAGAGGCACATCCTTCAAAGTTGGAAGGAGCTCAGAGCAAGGGGAAAGAGCAGAAAATGTATGGTTTGTATTTACATGAGAAGTGGTCTCCTAATGTAGTAGAGATAGAAGTCACCGAAGAAGCCTTATGCTTTGAGAACAACTTGGCAAACCCTCTGCCTTGGAAAGCAAGCAATGACCTCAGAGATGAAGCAGGAGAGCATTCACTCTGACTGGGTCTTTCAAGGCAAAGTGGGAAAGAGGTGGTGCTGGGACTATCCATGTATTATCACCTGTAAATTCCTATTCTACTTTCCTGTTCCCAGAAGGCCGGAAACATTCAGACACCTAAAGCCAAACTCAAAGTTTAAGTTATTAAAGAACTGGGGAAAATATGCCCTTCTGAAAGACACCTGCAGCTCGGTGCGAATGGGATGAAGCCTCACTTACGCATGACTTCCATGACCCGGTGGCGCAGAAAGGTGCGGCTGCTCTGAAGGGCTCCAAAACGTTTCAAGTCCAACTCCCAGACGTTTTCTGAGGGATAACCCTGGACCATCCATTCTGCAAGGTACCTGTTTAGATGGAAGGAAAAAGCTGTTGGGCCTCAGACGTGATACCCAAGAAGCTAAAAACATTGGACTAGCAATCAAGAATCAACAGAATCAAAAACTCCTATCTTCCCACACTAACCAGCTGAGCAATGCTAGGTAATTTAACTTCTCTGGAAAAAAAAAAAAAAACAAGGATCAATTTACTGCTCTCACAAGACCACTAGGATTTTATTTCTAATGGTAAGATTTACTAGAAAGTGTTTTAAGACATAAACCACATCTATGGAGAAATAAGACTGAAACTCACAAAAAACATTCTAATTTATACATCCAATGGGCATTTTCTGTAAAATAGTAAACGTGGGTGAGTGTATAGTTATCTGACCACATCTCCTTTGCACCAAACATTTTTGTTAACTCCTATTCTGTAACTGTATTCAGTGTGATTTTGTAAGTCTCTCAAGAAAACTAGCCTCAATTTCTATTAGCATGTACTTTTAAAATAAAAATTTGTATAACCCAGGCTGATCACCTACCTTACTCACCAAACTCAAATATACACTCAAAGGACCAACATTTGTTACGACTGAAGGAGTACAAAAGGACGTCCTGTGCACAAGTCTGTGACTAACACCAAACAAGGCGTTCTGACAACATCTCACACAATGACAGCATTTCTGGAACACAGGGCAAGCCTTTGTGGTGCTTACTGTGAAGACGACAACTGTCAAATCATCTATACCTTATCAGGATTAACATGCTACCTTAAATATGTTACACACAACACGAACAAGTAGTTCTAGAAGGAAAGAAGCTCGGCAAGCTGACACACGTTCACGGTTAACTCTAATGAGAAAGACTTACTTCCCAGCTCCTCCACCAAATGACAGGCCAGCAGAGTTCATTCCCGCCAGGACAAAGTAGCCCTGAACTGTGGGAGACTCGCCCATGATGCACCGCATGTCTGGTGTGAAGGTCTCGGGGCAATTCACCAACTTCATGATTTCCAGAGCCTCCAATTCTGGCATCCTACGCAGGAGGGAACTCAACAGGGGCTCTGGGTAATAAAAATAGACCAAGTCCTTACCTTTAAGGAATTCAAAGACTTTCAAACCCTCACACTTTGTTTTTTTACTCCCTCTCCTTTCAGAAAATCTCTTGCAAGAGATTTTCCCAGTAGAGCCAACTAGGCCACTTGTCAGAAAACAGAAACTTTCAGGAATGACAGAGCATGCTTACAAAATGCTCAGCATAAAGACTGAGAAACAAAGATACTCTTTACAAAGGCAAGGAGCTTCAGACTATCAAATGATGGATGCAGCTAGAGAGAAAAACCTGTAAGGAGTCAGTACAAGCAGAAAAGGTCTTCAGTAGCACCCAAAGAAGATTCCGGTGAAAGGCAGTATTTTCCCACGTTAGAATAGGTTTTGAAAGACAGGGCCTCACCATATTTTAAACTAAGTCCATCACCTGGGAAGACTCAGTGGGATAGTGGAACAGATGGAACTAGAGATGTTAATATCTGCCAAAGCTTGTTGGTGGCTACACAGAGGGTCCTCACACTATTCTCCCCACTTTTAAAAGCTGGAGATTTTCCGTAACAAAAAGTTTATTAAGGGAAACAAAACGTCCACGAAGGGTGGGAGGCAAACTTTACACAGCTCGTTATGTTAAACACTCTTCCCTATCTTTTGATTCTGGAACCATATGACTATATTAACTACTCAATAAATAAAATCAAACTTCAAAAATAGCACAAAAGAGCAAATTAACAAGACAATTCTCCTTTCTAAAAATCTCTCCAGTTTCATATGAAAACCAAAAGAAGGTCTGTGTTTAGCCTAAAATCTCAGCAATGATTTTATGTGAAAAGAAAAATAAGCAAGAGATCAGTCAACTTAGATTTTAGTCCCTTGAATCTGCTACTAACCAGTAACTACCTCCTTAGACCAGGCAACTAACCACTGTGGAGTGTCCACTGGAACCACCATTCTACCTAACGGGGTTGTTACAGAGATCAAACCAGGAACTGTTCTTCAAAATGCTTTGAAAATAAGAAATCTTGCACAAATCTAAGGCATTACTGTTACACTCTAGCTCACACACCAAAGTGATCCCAGTCTTCCTGTAGATTCTGAATCTCCAGCTGGTTCTTGCCCTCTGTGAAAATTGGTTTCGGGTTCTTCTCAAAGCCCCCAGACAAGATGCCACCCTGCCAGTTCCGAATATAAATCCTCCCATCAGCATCCACAACAGCTGAGGAAAAGAAATGATAAGGGAGCGGGAAGTAGAAGAGAAAAATAAGGGTTAGAGGCAGGCCAGCTTTCTAAATGGACAGAAAAGAAACAAAACAAAAACACCCATTAATGGCTTTAGTAATGAAACAGCATTCACTAAACACAGGCAATCATTAGCTTTCAAGTACCTTTTAAGGGTATGGCTTAGGATCTTCCTTCTTAGATTTACAGTGGAGACTAATTATCCCAAACCCTATGGAGAAGCTCTGACAGATCCCCACAGCCAAACTATGTAACTGTCACTGTGGCAAGAGAAAGTTTAACAGGAAGGGTGGACTGCAGAGCCCGTTCTAGGGCTACACCTCCAAAATGATACCAAACTCCTTCTCCTCCAGCACTTGGAATCGCTGATCCACACCAATTTATAGTTTACCTAGGACATTTCTACAGCTTACATCACTCAAACCAAAAACTCAAGGTATGTTTCCTAGCCAAACATTCTCAATGACCTCCATTTGGAATTAAAATTAGCTTGCAAAGAAAACAATTTTTTTTTTCTTTTTTTGCGCTTAAGCTGAACGCCCGTTTTGGCCATCCTTTCATAAAGAGGTAATAAAGGAAAGTTAGCATTGGGTCTGCCTCCCTGTAACACGCTCCAGAAAAGACGCGACTTTGGCTACAGTCTGTCCTCAGCACAAAGTCTTCCTTTTGAGAGGACAGAACACTGGCAAGGAAACAAGATTAAAAAAAAGTGCAAGTCCTCACTTGGTGTGTTGCTCTGCAGAGGGGTCTCCAAGGGGCGAGTCAGAAGGTAGAAGTGTTCGCAGGCATGTAACGGGATACTAACCGGCTCCTCGTTGGACAGACCCAGCTCGTATGCCCACTACAAATGGACAGATGTATTTGTGGGTGGGAAGAGGAACAGAAATACAAATGAGCAAGTTCAGCCTCTTGAAAAGGGTTTAATTTCAAGTGGCCTGTGTGTGCTCTTGCTACAATGTCAGGTGTGGGAAGCCAAGTTGTTGCCTGCTTTAGAGCAATTATTTGGATGGGGAGCAAAACTGAAACCATAAAAACTACTTTCAGATTAAAGACACATTTTAGTAAAGGGAGTTCATGGGGACAATTGAGGCCTTTTTAGCAAAATGCATGGCCTTAATTACAGACCTCAAATGGCAGTTGTTAAATAAATTTTACATGGCAAAGTTATTTCCCAGCTAGAAGCAGCTTAGTGTTCTAGAAAGCGAATCCACATTCTTGACACAATGAAATAGTTTAATAATTTGTATGCAAAGTTGTAGAATGAAACATAACACCATAGAAAGACACGGCACCGATGCCCACTGTTTTCTGACCTTCCTAACCAGGACAGCACCAATTAAGTCAGGGTGAAAAAGGAAAAGGTCACAGATGCTTCTATTTTCAGATGTAAGTACAGGTTTCTTACTTAAGACTATAGGAATTCTGAACAAGAATTCTTTCAAACAAGAAAAGTGTCATCTATTTACTCAGACACAATATTAATCTTACTTCTTTCTCTACATCAAAAAATCCTGGAGACAAAAGTTACATAAGAAAATCAGCAACCTTGTGTTGTTACTAACCTACCTGACCAGCACAGTTGACAAAATACTGGCAGTCAATGTGTCCTTTATCTGTCTCCACACCAGTGACTTGATTATTTTTGACTAGTACGTGAAGAACAGTTGTGCGGTCGTAGATCTGAACACCTGCCCCAAGGTAAAGAAAGAGCTAGTGCATCATCTGATGTTCCAGAGTTAAGGCATTTGCAGCAGATTCTCAACCCAGAAATAGTGAAAACCCAAGGTCAATGCCCTAATTAAGGAAAAAAAAAATCCTAGAAACCACATCTTTGAGACTGTATTTACCCAAGATTGAAAATAGCAAGCAATTTAAAAAATGACTTTAGTAAAGCATAATTACACTCCAGAAATCATAAAAGGGGCAAAGGAAAGTTCAAATGGGACATCTTAAATCCTAATCTGCCCACATTCTAAATTAGTTCAACGCGTCTCCAACACCCTGGAGGCTGGTTAGTCTTTCTTCACTTATGTCAACACTGGGACATGACTGCAGCTGTGGATTAAGTCCCCACAGTGTGTTCTAACCTTGGAGCTTTTCATATTCTGTGGGTGAAAAGATAAAGCCTCTGAAGTCTGAAAAGCATTAATCAGCACTCAAGCAGTTTCTTAGAACTTTAGTAAGAAAAACGTAGGCTTGAGGAAAAGTACTTATTAATATGATGGGAAACTGCCCCCTACAATAAAACCTGTAAAAATCAGTGTTCAAAATTGGAAGCTGAATACCATAATGAGAATAATTTTTCCAAAGTCAGGTTGGTACCTCACAACTGTTTACTTTTGTAGACCACTTCTTCCTTCCTAATCCACCTTAAGAAAGCCCTAAAAAACCCTCTTACTGTTTTGGGAGGCAGCACTTGCCAGGGCAAGAGCCACATCGGCAGAGGACATGACCGCATCCTCGGGGACATGCATGGCCCCCACCAGGTCGTGCACATTGAGGAGAGGGTGAAGTTCAGCCACTTTCTTGGGGGAGATGATCTCAGATGGGATGCCCATAACACTGCCACAGAACACAAAGGGACAATGACATTCACTGGCCTCTTGGCAGAGGTCAGTATGAAAGTAAAGTCAGGTCAGGCTTCTAGCCTCATACGTACTTCAGCCTTGAGTTGATGCGCTTCAAGGAGATCAGACGATCCTGGGTTTGGGCCAAAGAGATGGAGCCCGTCCTCACATAACCTGTCAGAAAAACCAGCCCAAACTGAAACAGACTAAGTCCAATGTAGACATGAGACAGACTAAGTCCAGTGGCAAGGAGACTCTAATTTAGAAGCGTGTGATGAGTCCTGAGGAAGGTTGGACAATCTACTTTCGCAGCAATACTGCCCCGGAAACCCAATGAGGGGTCGCTATGATGAGTCGGGTTCGACTCGACAGCAAATAACAACAATAACAACAACGATGAGTCCTGGGACTGACACTTAATATCCTTGGGCAAATAAATTAGCTTCCTCTGAGATCTTAGCAAAGACTAAAAGTACCTCATAGGCACTAACCAAGGCTCCACTCTTCATCCAAACATTCTCAGCTCAGGGTTTTGTGAGGATCAAATGAGATACTAATGTACAGAAAAGTACTTTGTGCATGTGTGTGTGTTTGTTTATTTTTGCAGTGTTGCCCCACCCCCTAGTAACCAATAAAGAAAGTTTCCTTCCATATATAAACCTTTCCTTGACATTTTACAATAATGAACTAATACTACATTTGTCCTTCTGTGATTGGCTTATTTCACTCAGCATAATGTCCTCCAAGTTCATCCACATTATGCCGTGTTCTGCAGATTCTACATTATTCTTTAGTGTTGCATAGTATTCCACTGTGTGTATGTACCATAGTTTGCTTATCCATTCTTCTGCTGATGGGCACCTAGACTGTTTCCATCTTTTTCTTCTGTAAACAGTGCTGTGATGAACATGGGTGTGCATATATCTGTTCTTATCCTGGCTCTCATTTCTTTAGGATGTTGTTGTTGTTGTTGTTTGCCATCAAGTCGGCCCCGACTCATAGCGACCCCTCCTTGGGTTTCCGAGGCAGTATCACTACGGAAGTAGGATTGCCCAATCTTCCTTCCGAGGAGTGGCTGGTGGGCTTGAACCTCCAGCCTTCTAGAATATATACCTAGTAATGGGACTGCTGGATCAAATGCTATTTCTAATTCCAACTTTTTAAGGAATTGCCATACCGCTTTACACAGTAGGTGTATCATTCTACAGTCCCCATCAGCAGTGTATGAGAGTCCCAATCTCTCTACATCCTCACCAGCATTTGTTATTTTCTGTCTTGTTGAACTTTGCTATTAGTGCTGGGGCAAGATGGTAACTCATTGTTGTTTTGGTTTGCATCTCTCTAATGGCTAATGATCATGGAAAAGCACTTTAAAAAAAAGAAAGAAAAGAAAGAAACACACCATTATTATATATTAAAAAAAAATCTATTTGGGGAGTGAAGTGGGGTAGAAGAATACTATCTGGAATCCATCCCTATTCTTCACGCCTTTAGAGAATTTCACCTTTTCCTCTAGTGTCAGCAGGAATGTAGTCCCTGAGGAAGGCCACTCACACTGTTAGCCAGTACAGAATCAAGTTTCCTTTCTCTTCCCCGCAGTACAGCCTAGGCTAGCCAATCAGGCCTCCTGAAACATTTGGTCTTGTGCAAATAAGTCATGTCTTGAGGTCACGTGGGAGCTCTGGTGGCATAGTGCCTAAGGCACTAGACTGCTAACCAAAAGGTTGGAGGTTCAAACCCACCAGACACTCCTCAGAAGGAAGACTGGGCAATCTACTTCCATAACGATAAGGTAACCAACCCAAGGAGGGGTTGCTATGAGTCAGAGACGACTGGACTCGATGGCACATAACAACAACAACAACAGAGGTCACTTGTCTGGGAGCAGGGTTTTGTCCAGAATGTTCCTGTTCCAGCTGAAGGACTGTCTATGGGGTCCCCACTCCTTTTTATTTCTGACTCACCAGCTCCACAGACCCACAACGCCCTTCCAACAAATGCCTTTCTGCCTGTTAGCTAGAGTTGATTTCTGTTGTTTGCAATCAACATTCTTGACACACCCATTATTACAACTGGGTCAAAGACCATTCTCCCAAAATGCACTGACTCCCAATGCTCATGGAGAAAAAGCTGCATCAATCAGGTCTTTAAAATAGGAAGTACAGCCAGGATAATCTGAGTATTTTCTTAATTTCTCCTGAAATCCTCAGATAAATATGCCCTTCACTGACATGACATAGGTTAGAGAACTGGAATTTCAGAGCTTGGTTTTAAAAAAAGATTACCAGACTATGTAGTAATCTTGGCCTGTGATTTTATGGGCCAATCACACCCTGAATTTTACCTCAACACAGACAAAAAGTTCAGCAGCTATTTTCTACTCCATACCAAAGATTACACATGTTGTTATGAGCCGCTGAGTCGGACCTGACTCATAGCGACCCCTCCTTGGGTTTCTGAGGCAGTATCACTACGGAAGTAGATTGCCCAACCTTCCTTCCAAGGAGTGGCTGGTGGGTTTGAACCGTCAGCCTTCTGGTTAGCAGTCAAATGCCTTAGGCACTATGCTACCAAAGCTCCTTGAGATTACACATAGGAGAACGCCATTGGGTCTGCACCTATATAATAGGTCAGGTTATCCCACAGTAAGGAGGCCCCTGGGTGGAGCAACCGGTTAAGCACTTGACCACCAGCTAAAAATGGTGGTCACACCCACCCAGAGATGTTTTGAAGACAGGCCTGGTGACCTGCTTCAGTCTCAAAAACCCTACAGAGCTCTGTTCTACTCTGACATACAGGGGATCTCTGTAAGTCCGAACCGACTCAGCAACAACAACACTGTATTAGATCAGGTTCCTCCAGAACAGAACTCCGTATCATGACAAGCTCAACAGATCATCCCTTAACAAGATTAATGTTTCCCACATTTTCTCAGAGGGCTTCTGAAGTTTGAACTGCAGCAATTCTGGCATATAATTTGCTTTGTCAAAGGTCAGTAGCCATAAAATAGAACTCTTATAAATGGATTTAAATAAATAGGTATACAATATCAAAAGGCATGAAATGATGTTTAGTTGAAAGAAATGCAAATTAGAATTTGATAACTTTTTCCATCTCTCAGCAAAGATTAAAATAATATTCAATGTTGAGAAGACTGTAAAGAAAGCAGCACTCTTACTCGCTGTTGATTAGCAAGCACAGCCCTTCTGGAGGGTTTGACAACATCCATCGAAGTCTGAAATACAAAGTCAAGAAAGGTTTACATATGGAAGGAAACTTTCTTTGTTGGTTACCAGGGATGGGAGGGGAGGGAAAATTGCTAGATGAGTAAAATAAAAAAAAGTACATCTGTATCTATCTATCTATCTATCTATCTGAGCTCTAATAGCGTAGTGCTTAAAGCACTTGACTGTTGACCAGAAGGCTGGCGGTTCAAACCACCAGCCACTCCTCGGAAGGAAGATGCGGCAACCTACTTCCGTACTGATACTGCCTTGGAAACCCCAAGGAGGGGTCGCTATGAGTCGGGTCCGACTTGATGGCACATAACAACAACAACAACAACAACAGATATATATATTTATACACACACACACACACACACACATAAACCAAAGTTACTAGTAGATACCAGGTATAGGAGGGAAGGGGAAAGGGGAAGCTTTAGCTTGTGGGGCACTGAGGTTGTGCTAGTGGTGGTAGAATATTTTGGAGAAGGAGAGCAATAATGATGGCCCGGCATGAAAGATGTCATAAATGTCCCTGAGCTGTAAATGAGGAAGTTGTCATGTTGGTGAATTCCTCGGTGTATATATTTTCACCACAATAGAAGGAAAAAAAAAGTTTAAAATACACCTGCCCATTGCCCAAATTATGCTAGGAATTTATACTTAAGAAATAATATGAGAAAATGAAGATACACAGACAAAGATCTTTACCAAATTATTTATAATAAAAGGTAAAAAAAAAAATTATAAATGCTAGGCAATGGGGAAATGGACAAATTATGGTATGCACAAGCTACAGTTATAAACAATGAGAGAGACTTATACTTGCTGACTTGGAAAGCAGCCTATAATATACTTTTATTTAACTCTTATTTAAACTGTTACTGTACTGAATGAAGGAAAGAAGAAGTAAACAAGTAACAGAGAAAAAAAAATGCAGGTACAAAACCAAAAAACCAAACCCATAGCTACTGCACTGATGCTGACTCACATTGACCCTACAGGACAAAGTAGAATTGCCCCAAAGGGTTTCTGAGGCTGTAAGTCTTTCTGGAAGCAAACTGCTTCATCTTTCTCCTGTGGAACAGCTGGTGGGTTCAAGCCACTGACCCTCTGGTTAGCAGCCAAATGCCTTAACCACTACACCACCAGACTTCTTTTGAGGTACAAAAAGCACACTGTAAGCAGCCAAATAAACTGTACTGACAAAAATAAAAGTTTGGTCAAAGATGAGATCCATGTACTTAGAATGGTCTGCAACAGATACTTTGTAAAGTACTGATGTATCAGGGTATTTAAGGATGGGAGGGGTTTGGACAGCTTGATAGAAGCAGGCAGGTAGGTATTTTCTAACTTTGAAAACGTAAGCCAATGAACTTGGCCAGTTAGGAGGGAACCACTCATCAGGTGGTTCTCAATCCAGGATAATCACCTGGGAAAGATGTGAAGAACGACCCAAGCTTGGGCTTCAGCTCCAGGGATTCTGATTCAGCTTTCTGGGATGAAGCCTGGACACGGGAGATTCCAGTCTATAGTGGTTGTCAAGCCTGGGTGCACATTAACTGAGAAGCTGAAAAAACTACCCACATCCCTGGAAGAGCCTGAGGAACCACTGAGACTATGGCCCCTAGCTGCCCTTCAGGTCTGGAATTGAACTCACACCTGTGGCTTCCAGTCAAACAAAAGACAGGCATATGAGCTGAATATTTACCTGAGGTAGATATACCCCTTGGAGAGAACAATCATGGGAGAAAGAAGGGCTGCTTAAGCACAGGGAGATAGCTCAGGGGGCAGAAGTGCAAGGAAGGATGGACACAGGGAAGAGGTAACTATTGGGAGGGAGTGGGAGGGGAGCTGTTACATTGTGGTAGACTGTGGTCAATGTCATGAGACAAAGTGTATGTGAACTGCTGTATGGAAAGTGTATTTGCTCTGTAAATTTTTACCCAGATCACAATTTAAAAACAAAAAAAACGACTCACACCCAAGGCTCTGCTCTACCCTGATACACAGAGCCAGAATCTCTGAAGCTGGGGCCCTGCAGTGGCACTTTTCAAAGCTCCCTGGGTGATTTTTTAGAAGAATGTGGTAACTTTCCATTATAATTTCAAATTTAGAGAAAAACTGGTAAACTAAGACACAAGCACTATGGATACCCTTTACCCAGATTCACCAATTGTTTGTATTTTGCCCTATTTGCTTTATCATTCATAGTCACTCAATTCTCTCCATTCACACCTATACACCTACACACAAACTATTTGAGAGGGAGCTGCAGACATTGTCCCCTTATCCCTAAATACTTGTGTGCACGTCCCAAGAACAAAAACATTCTCATACAAAATTACAGTGCAATTATCAAAATCAGGAAATTTAACACAGATCCCATACTAGCTAATCCACTAATCTAATCAACTGTATTAATAGTGTCCTTTTTCTTTTTTGTGCCCCCTCAGCCTAGGATTCAATCTAGAGTCAGACACTAAATTTAGTCGTCTCGTCTCTTTAACAATTGCTTGCTCTTTCTTTGCCTTCTTGACTTTGACATTTTTAAAGAGTACAGGCCAGGAATTTTGCAGAATGTCTGCATGCTGTTCACATCTGATGTTTCCCTGTGATTAGATTCAGGTTACACATTTTTGGCAGGAGTATTTCTCAAGGGATGATGTTTCCTTCTCAGTGTACGGTGATGATGGTCTGTCCCCCTAGGGGTCACAGTAACTACTTGGTTAAGATCGTGTCTGCCAGATTTCTTCTAGTTTTCCTTTGTAATTGGTAAGTAATTTGTGGGCAGGTACTTTTAGAGTATTTAAACATCCTGTTTCCTCTTCAAACTTTCACCCAGGAGTTCTAGCATCTATTGGTGATTTGGCCTGATATAATTATTACTATGACAGAGGCCAAATGGTGGTTTCTAACTTCATCATTCCTTTACATTTGTATTGGCATCCTCAGTCCCTTCTTCCTTCCTCATTTATTTATTTCTTTTATTAGTATGGGCTCATAGATCCCTATTTTATACAATGGGCCATAATCTACTGCTCTCATTTATTTTCTTCTAAAGTTATGCTAGACTTAGTCAGTGAGAATACCTGTACGGCATCTGTGTCCTCTTGACACGTTCACCATTCTAATGACACGTTCACCATTCTGAGCACTCACCGGTCTGTACTTTCCCAGGCCCAGCCAGAAACCAGCCATTTCTTCTAGAAGCTCTGATTCCTTTTAGGTAGGGCTGTCTTTTCAAAGTAAGGTGGTGGCGGTGGTGGTGCACATGTGTAAGTGCAGTAAGCAGGGGGAGAGGGGGCGGCACTGCTTCTAGGCACACGCATACTTTCTCTCTCTTACTAAAAACCATGATTTCACAAGAAGCCTTCAACTCCAACCAGACATAAGAGGGTTCATTTTAGTTATTCCTTTAAACTTTTGCCTGAAAAAGTAGACACTCCCTTTCCTGACTTCCTTACCATAACTGCCTCACAAGCAACAAAGAGGAGTCAGGCCAAGTAAGGGGCTCTGGACTGTGATCTAGAACTAAAGCTAAGCTATCGTACTCTATAGTAAAGAAGACTATGACCCCGATCCCTGTGAAACCCGACCAGCTTAGTGATGCAGGAATCAGCGGAGCACTAGTAACTGAACCATTAAGAAAGGTGCTTCGGACCACGTGTGTGCTCCTTCTGCGGGCATATGTGGACTCTCTTCTGACTTAACCCCTGGTCAAAACTATCCAAGCAGCTTGCTGCCATCAAATTAAGGCCAACCTAAAAAGGATTGTTTCTCACCTGTCCTACATGCAGCAGGCTGTCTATACTGTTAAAAGCAGGAGGCTACAGTTTTACAGATATGAGTAGCAGAACTACTTTTACAAGATTCCATTTGAGAGCCCTTGCCTCTCAAAAGGGAGCCTGGCCAAGTTCAATGACATAATGCGGATGACATAGAGGGCCCAGATGAGGACAAGGCAAGTGAGATGCCTAGGTTGCAAAATTTTTGCCCTAAAAGGCTGCCTTGCCTCATCCTAGTTCCAAACAAAAGACAAACCAAATAGCCTCTTCCTTCTCCACCTCTATTTTCCCTTCTGGCATCTCCTTTCTCCACTTTCACATCTATAAAATATTATTTACAAGACAATTCACAATTTACAAATTACACTTAGTGGAAGTATGAATTCTGTGAAATGGAAATGTAGTATAAAACATTAATTTTATGGTAAAAATTTAAAATAATTCAAATCTTACCCTCTTCAAATTAAAAATGTGCCAGTGTCACAGAATTCCCGAGTTGGTTAGTCAAGCAAACCATCAAATGTGCTTACATCATGACCACAGGGCAGAGCCACTTCAGTTGGTAAAAAGAAAGAGCCACCATCCTTTGTCAGGGTCCATCTTAAAATTATGTGTTGTTTAATCACGCAGGGTCTTCCAAGAACAACCTTCACATGTATAAGTGCCCTGCATTTCATCACGGGCCCTTGTTACCCTCTCATTATAGTCAGTATGGTTTCATCAGTCAAGAGACTGGCTTGATTCTGGGCTGTCAGCCCCACCTCAGAGACTTCTGGCTAATTTAGCCCCCTACAATGAATGGATAGATGCCCTTTCCACATAACTATTGTATGGGATCCTAGTGTAGATCAGTATTCCTATTTCTGGAACACTTCTTACTCTTTCCAGTACTATTTTGCTTATAATTCTTTGTGTCCTTTTCCCCTCTAATTACAGAGACAACAGGAAATATGTTTATGCTTTATAGCCAGAAATATACTTAATAGTGAATGGTAAAGTTCAGAAGGTTAAACTATAACTTTACCGTCAAACACCTAAAGTTAAACTTTCCCTTCTTCTTTGTTTAGTTGTTAAGTATTGTCACTTAATATACTTAAATGAGTGAAACATACAGGAGATGGCCCAGGAAAACTTTCACATCACAATAAGAATGATAAGATAGGAAAAAGGTGTTGGATACTAACCGACTTTCCTTATTTTATACAGAGAAACTGAAGACCATGCAACAAGCTAACTGACTTGCCTGAGGTAATACCTAGCTAGCAGCAAAGACAGGAGTAAAATCCAAGTCTTAGTTATCAAATCACCAGGCAATCTTGGTGTAAGAGTACTGAGTAAAAGTGTGGAGGACAGGAAGATCAATAAACGGAAAATTATGCTTACCTGTTTGGATTCCTGTTTCTTGCTCTAACTGCTGGTAGAGTTTGTTTGAATAGTCTGCCATCTTCTGCTCAATGGACAAGTGCCTGGCCATGCTCAATATACCAGCACAGAACCTTGTAGAGCCAGCAGCCAGCCTGCAGAATGGATACAAACAACAGTGTTACTAGAGAGGTGTGTGGACCACGCCTCGTGACACTTTCAGAGGGGGTGACACCAAATGACTGTCCATAAAATTATTGTACAGTGTTTCAGCAGAAATTTAGGTTTCATAAAAATATTCCTATAGTCATTTGTAACAAAAACATTTTCCAAAAGCCCAAGTTACATTTATCAGTATACCCTATGAGGCAACAACACTATGCTAATTTACTTTTTCAACCTGGTAACATGCTCTGGTCACAGCTATCATCACTACCCAATCACAGTGAAGCTTCCAATCATGTGGTCTCATCTGCTTGTGGTACAAGCATGTGCTGCCGTTTTTGATGCTGCCTGTGTTTTTCCAGTCACTGATTTTGTCACATTTTGTGGTGTTTAGCCACCCTATTGTGGTAAGCAGTATTTGTAAACCTCTATCAATAACATTTTAAAGGATGAAGTAGTAAAAAAAAAAAAATTATAAAGGCTTCTGTTCCATTACTAATAATGTCTTATCTAATGATGCTATAATTCAGTGTAGAAAGATTTTACAAAATCTTTTTTTTGTGAGTATTCATATAACCTAAGAGGTACTACAATTGAGGAATTTATAACTACATTTATCACATATTATCCTATGATTAAAACTGATAATAAACATTATGACATATTCTGTATGGTCCAGCTCAGGAGGGGCCCAGTGTGCACTGGGTGACTCCAAACCTAGTGACAGCACTAGGTCCAGACGCTATTAGGTGGCTCACATATAGGTGAGGTGCAACAAGCAGCAGCGTCTTCACTGTTTGTAGCATCAAAAACCAGTAACACCTCAAATGGTCACCAACACAGGACTATTTTAAAAACTGGAGCTTATCTATACAATAGAGTATTATGCAACATAAAAAGAATGAGAAAACTCTTTAATGGACTGATATGGAACAATCATGCTGAAAAATTCAGGGTGAGAAACATTGTTTAGGGTATGCCACCAATTGTATAAAAAAGAAAAAAAATCAGTGAATACATATACATACCTACATACACACACACTTGCTTATATGTGCTGAGAACATACATGGAATGGTATGTAAGGAACCTAACAACGGTTGCCTCTAAAGACGGAAATTTATAGTTAGAGGCCAGGGATAGGAGGGAGACTTTTCCCTCTTTTACGTACATTTTATATAGATACATATATATTATATCTATACACACACTCACACACATATATATTTTTAGAGGAGCCCTGGTGGCAGAGTGATTAAGTGCTTGACTGCTAACCAAAAGGTGAGATGTTCAAATCCACCAGCTGCTCCAGTGGGAGAAAGAAGTGGCAGTCTGCTTCTGTAACATTTACAGACTTGGAAACCCTATAAGGCAGTTCTACTCTGCTCTAGTGCTGCTACCAGTAGGAATCAACGCCACTGAGCAATGGGCTTGGGTTACAGTATCTATTGTATAGCTCCTATCTTACCAATGCTGAAAGTACATAGAAAAAAGCCTCCCACACATCCCAACCAAAGTTTGAAGACAGTTATCTATATAAGGAAACTATCAACACAGGTTAAGGGATCCCAGTTAGCCTGGGAATTCTGGTTAACATGTGTTTTCCCACTTCTTAATAAAATCCCCTTTTACTTACTTCCTGGTTTAGAAGAGAAATTCCCTGGTCACTTTGGGATTAGTCCTCTATGGAGTGAAGAAGATATAGCCACAGCTAAATGCAGAGTGTGGTATCAGAGAAATACTGTAAACTGTAAAGGAAAGATTTACTCTACTTGCCTCATGACTGCCAGTAAAGAAAAGAGCACAGCAGGAGTGTGACCTAGAAAACCAGGACTCTAGCAAGCAACAGCCACTTGTTTGCCTCTGACAAAGCCCAAAGCTGGAGAATACAAGTTGTAGTCATAGGAGCGCTGAGCTCTACCAGGGGGCAGGCTCAGTTTGGCTTCTCTATCGCTCTATTCCTCAAGGTACCGCTTTTGTTCAAATTCCACATTCCCCAGTAACCTATGGCTTACTAACTAGATCTCCTAGGTACCTTGTCACTGGAAAGAACATGCCCAAGACCTGAGACATCTGGATATGGGCAGCCAGGGTCATTGTGAATTGAAACTTCAGTATTTGGTTCCTTTATCAACTCTATGAGAGTTTGAGCACTGCGACTCAATCAGTGTACATCAAATTACCTCTGGGAACACTGCCCAAATCTGAGAGTCTGATGATAAAGCCATCTGACAGCAAGGCAAACAATCTACCTCTTTCTAGGGGATCTCTGTCTCAGCTTTCCCTAACCTTATTTTGTGAACCTTCAAAGAACTGCCTACCCCTAAATTGATATATATAATTCAATACATAACTAAATGTACCCAAAAAGTTCCAAGAAAGCAACAGGAACCAGGGTAAAGAGGAAATAGACATTCTTGACGACCTGAGCGTACCCACTCCCCCATTCTTCTCCCTTGTAGAGTTTTGCAAGGAGCTTACAAAACAGTTTCTTCTGACCAAGAAGAAACAGAAAGCAGCAGGATCACAATAAACAACGTGGGCTTTGCATCTTAGCACTACATATCAGCGCGAGTGGTCTTGGGTCTTTCCCTTAACCTCTGTAAGCCTCAGTTTCCTCATGTGTAAAATAGACTTAATATCCTTCATGAGCATGTAATGCATGGGGTTAAATGAGATAATTTAAGAGTTGCACATGGTGCCTTACACACAGAGGCAGTAACAACAGAAACAAAAACAAGCATTTCAGTATCAAAGTCTATGAGGATACACCTTCAGCTAATGCAATACTTGTTGAGTATCAGACTTACCCTTCTACCACAGCAACTACAAGTTGGACAAAAGAAATGAAATTTACAGGATTTGGATGATAAACAATGTAGCCCATGAGCCTTGAGAGAAGGGAAGCATATAACGTGACTTCCATATTCCCCACGGCTTTCTCTTTGGAGGCATGTTCCAAACCACAGCTTAGGAAAGTGATACCCAAGCAGAAAGGACAAAGAAAACAGAAACTGGAGCTGAGAGCTGCTAAGGAAGCCAATGTTTGTATTGGGCAGCAAGGGTGTGTATGAGAGTGTCTCCTGAATCCATGGCTGAACCCTAAGTGGTCCAAGTACAGGGCCAGGCTGAAGGAGGCCTAGCAGGGAAGAGCTTCCGAGAGGACAGGAGCAGAAGAGGGTTCAGAAGCTGCAGTGCTGGAGTGATGCCAGAGCTCTGACCTGCTCAGAGGAGGAAGATCTTGGCTAACACCTCCAGAATTCATTTGTGCCTTCAGAAAAGCCATGCTGTGGGAGTAAAAGACCACATTCTAGGAATATGGGTTACACTCTAGGACCAAGGGCAGTACAATCTGGGGTAAGGGGACACAGAAGTTCCTTGTGCTGTTCTTGTGGCTTTTCTGTGAATCTGAAATTCTGTCAAAATAAACTAATTTTTTAAATTACTGTTTAAAGCAAATATATTAAAGGATTCATAACTTATATAAGTAAAATATACAACGGCATAAACAGCAAGAGGCAGTAAAGGGAAATGCTACTGCTGCATGGATCTACATTATTTGTGGAGCAGTATGACATTAACTCATGATGCACTATGATAAGAATATATATTGTAATCTCTCTAAAAAATACACTAAGACTCACTGGCGTCGAGTCAGATCCGTCTCATAGCAACCCCTCCTTGAGTTTCTGAAGCAGGATCTCTATGGAAGTAGATTGCCCAACCTTCCTTCTGGTGAATGCCTGGTGGGTTTGAACTGCCAGCGTTCTGGTTAGCAGGCAAAGGCCCTAGGCACTACACCACCAGAGCTCCCTCAGAGTCAACAGAGGAGATGAAACAGGATAGTAAACAGGGCTGTGAACTGGTTTTTCCTGGTTCAATCATGGTCAATAAAGCAAAACCAGAACGTATCTCAATTTATAAAATGGGAGTAAACCAAAACAGGAAAAATTAGAGGTTGATGCACTGTTAGAAACTTAATTTCCGTCTTAGAAAACAAGGGCAGCACGCACAATAGCAACCAAATCTTCTGACTGGCACTGGGGGAAACAGCAGCGTCCTGCTCAAAGACGGTAGTGCTTTGTGTGCCACGCTCCACAGTCCTGTCAGTCACCCCGTCTCTCCCACCACACTCCTGAAAGGGCTCATCACTATGTCTCTTCCAAGTCTCCCACTCAAGGGCTTTGACCCATAATTTTTCCCACTCTGGATGCTGTTCTGCTTCACTCAAATTTTAAAATTTGGGGTCTGTTTTGATTTCACTTTGTTGGCCATGACTAAACCGGTTCAAACTGATTTGAAGCCCTGATACTAAAAATGACTGATCTAAACGGAAGCAGGAGAAGAGAAACAAAGGAATAAAGCCAATTAAGACAGCATATTTCTTCTGAGGGAAGAACTTAGCAATTAAGCTAAACCAGGCTGTTTACTTTACTTAAATGCTATCCAAATTATTGCACAAGCACAAGCTCTGGTAAAAATCAAATTATAAAGTAACAGAAAACTCTTCAAAACTGTCAAAAACAAGCAAAGTCTGAGATACTACCATACTGAAGAGGGATCTCAGGAGTCACAACGATGAAATGGAATGTGGTGTCCTCCTAGGAGGGATCCTTGAGCAGAAAGAGCCCATTAGGGAAAAACCGATGGAACCTGAGTAAAGTATGACCTCCAGTTAATAATAACCAAAAAAAAAAAAAAAACACCTCACTGCCGTGGAGTTGGATCTGACTCACAGCGACCCCTCCTTGGGTTTCCGAGGCGGAATCACTACAGAAGTAGATTGCCCAATCTTCCTTCCAAGAAGTGGCTGGTGGGTTTGAACCACCAGCCTTCTGGTTAGCAGTCAAATGCGTTAGGTACTAGGCTGTCTGAGCTTCTCCAGTTAATAATAACCTATCACTATCAGTTCATTAATTATAAACAATTAATGTGCCACATCAACAATAGGGGAAGCTGGGTATGGGGCATGTGAGAATGGTGTACTGTCTTCCATTTTTCTGTAAATTTGTTCTGAAGGGCAGTATTTACACAGGGAGACAGCTCAGGGGCAGGAACACACAGGAAGGAAGGACACAGGGAAGAGGTAACTGCAGGGAGGAAATGGGAAGAGAGCTGTTACACTGTGGGGAAGTGCAGTCAGTGTCATGAAACAAAACATGTATGAACTGCTGTATGGAAAATAAATTTTTCACCCATATCACACACAGACACAGACACACACACACACACACACACACACACTCTAAAACTGTTCTGAAATAAAAAGTTCATTACATTTAAAAAAAAGGGGGGGGGCAGAAAACACAGGCAGAATGGAGCCTATTCCGTTTTGGCTCATGGAAGGAGCTCCTCAGGTACAGCCGCCAACTCTCTCCAGCTGATCCTTACCTGCCCTGTTCCAAGAGGACAATATCCTTCCAGCCCAGCTTGGAGAGGTGATAGGCCACAGAGGTGCCCATGATCCCACCGCCACAGATGACCACCTGCGCCTGGGCAGGCAGGGCGACAGAATGGGCCTCAGCAGCTGACGTGCTGCTTCTCGTTGAAAGCCGGTTCTGCCATCCTGGGCTGGCTCTGTGCCGCTGGACAATTGAGAGCAGCCGGGAAAACATCACGTCTCTCAGCAACCAGGAGATGCACGCTCATTCAGCCAGGAAGATCCCAAGAGTTCAAACTAGACAGAAAAAACCAGACGCGTGTAATTCTAGTTAACTCAGTGCACAGGACTAATGCAAAAAGGATGAAATAGAGCATGGTATTCTTCATTCAACAAGTATCTGAGGCTCTACTAAGATCCAGACACTTTGTTTGCTAGGCCTACAGAGACAGCACAGGGAAGGCTGAGTGATCCCTGCCTTTATGCAACTTACATTTGAACGTGTGTGTGTGTGTGCGCGCGCGCGCGCGCGGGGTAATCAATACAAAAACAAAACAAGGAAACAAGGCTATTGTGCGAGAGCAGCTATGGGCATATTTTAAATAAGGTGGTTGGGAAAGGCCTCTGAGGAGGTGACACTGGAAATAGTCCCGGAGGATGAGAAGGAACCAGCTCTGTGAGTGTTCCAGACAGAGCAGCAAGTGTATGCAATGGTCCTGAGATAAGGAAGGCCCTGACGAGGCCAAGACAGAAAGGAAGCCAGTGTTCACATTGGGGGGAGGGGGGGGCGCGGCTAAGATGGTGCTGGAGAGGCAGGCAGAAACCAGGTTATCCATCACAAAGGAGTAGGCTCTAAAGCAGGGAAATGAAATGGTCCGACATGTTTTTCAAAGATGAGTCTGGCTCCTTGTGGAAAGTGGACTGCTGACTGAGAGAAGTAGAGAGATGAGTTGGGAAGCTATTGCAGTCATCCAAGGGGGACATCATGGTGGCTGAGACAAAAAGGGCAGCAGTGAGACAGAGAAATGACTGGATTGCTTGGAGGCAGAAAGGACAGGACTTCCTTCAAACAGAATGTTAGAAATGAGAAGGGAGAAGTAACTGGCACTACTTTCTACCTCGTTCCTCATCACAATGTGAAAGACTAGGACAAGAGAGGGAGGGAGAGAAGGGAGAAATGTGAACCTGTGCTTGTGCAGGTGAGTGTGTGTGCATGTGCGTGTGTGTGCATAGAATTCAACACTCCATTCTTACACATGTTAAGTGTTAAGACTCATTAGGAATTCAAGTGGAAATGGCAAGGAGCAGTTAGACAAGTCTGGAGCATGGGGAAGAGGTTTGAGAGATTAGCATACGGACAATATTTAAAGCTCTCATGTTTAGAGGAAACAAGACTCTGAGCCTCCCTAGCACTTACAGATCATGAAGAGAAAGAAACATGGGACTAGAGTCAGAACTGAACACCACAGCAGTGCAATAGACAGTGTCTAGACAGAGAACTGGTTAGAGACAGAGGAGCGGCTAGCGAAGCAGAAAGCCAACTGAGCAGAAGTCAGTCACAGAAGCCATGAGAGCAAAGAGTTCTAAGAAGTGGTTAAACACAGAGGGTGCCAAGAGATCAAGCAAGAAGACCAAGTGTCCTTGGGGACCTGACGACATACACATACAGATCCTTGGTGATCTTAAAGAGAACATTTTCAGGGGAGTGGGAGGGATGGAAAACAGAGCAAGCTGCGAATGAAAAGCAGATGACGGAGCAGAGTCAGCTCCATGACATTTTGCTATGAAGAGGAGCAGAAAAATGGGACAGAAGCGAGAAAAGAATGTGGGATGAAGCAAAGTGGTTTGTTTTGGAGAGATGGAGGAGACCAGGAATATCTGACTGCAGGTGGGAATGGTCTAGTATGAGCGAAAGAAACAAGATGACAGGGAGGGGTAACTCAAAGAATGAAGTCTTCAAGAAGGAGAAAGAGATGGGCTCCAGAGCCTACTAGGGGAAATATTACATGCCTCCCATTCCAACGTGTGCTGGAGATGTTCTAGTACCATGCAAGAGAACCATTAGTTGCGTTAGGCTTATCACTCACATGCACAAGACAGGGAAGTTCTGGATTAACAAAGCACGCATCTCTATGAGATGATAAAATGAACAAGTTAGAGAAGGAAAACAAAGAGCACAGGCTAGGACCATCAGGGAAGGGGGCCATATAGAAAGCAGGAGTTAGGTAACCCTCCTCACATCCCAGGTAAGCTCCGCCCCAAAATGTAAGCTCCTCTACCCAGGTAGTCCCCTCTGTAAACTCATCTCCATGTGGCCACTTGTTCTCCCCTGACCCAGCTGCTCTTTGCTTTCAACCCTCCCTGTTCCAAGAGGAAGGGACGGCTGGCATCCTCTTCACTTCCAAATCATTACCATTTGGCAACACTTGAAAAAGACCCTGTTCCTTTGTGGCTTAGGCCCCTGTCACCTAGTTCCAGACTAAGTGTTAATGAAGAAAATCAGAGTGCAGATCTCTGTCTGTAAAGGCAAACCTCATTTTATTGCACTTTGTAGATACTACATTTAAAAAAAATTTTTTTGAAGGTTTATAGCAACCTTGTGTCTCTGTGTCACATTTTGGTAATTCTCAAAATATTTCTAACTTTTGCATAATGTTCTGCACACTAAATAAACTACAGATAATGTAAACATAACTTCTGTATTCACTGGGAAATGGAAAAAATCCACATGACTCGCTTTACTGTGATACTCACTTTATTGTAGTGGTCCGGAACCAAATCTGCATATCTCCAAGGTATGTCGGTATGTCAGTACTGAGGTTCCGGGCCCATAACACTGCTTCTCTCTTAACCTTTGACCCCACCTCTTCTCTTCCCTCATTCTAGACAGACAGCCTCCTGTCTCATCTCACCGCTGACACTCCACCTACAAACTTACTTGCACCTACAACCATCCTTTCCTTCCTTCATCTGGTCAGAAATTAAACCTCCAGAAGTACCCTGTGTCCGAGTCACTCCTTCTTTTTCCTAAATCCAGCTTCACCAATTACCTTTTCTCTTTATCATACCTTCAATTTTTCCCTCCCTTCAGCTCTTCCTCATCAGCATTTTAACACACTTGAGTCCCTCTCACTCAAATTAAGAAATAAACAAAAGCTCTACAACTTCAAATACAAAAAAAAAAAAACCACCTCATTGCCGTGGAGTCGGTTCCAACTCATAGCAACCCTCCTTGGGTTTCGGAGGCAGTATCTCTGTGGAAGTAGATTGCTCAGTCTTCCAAGGAGTGGCTGGTGGGTTTGAACCGCCAGCCTTCTGGTTAGCAGTCACATGCCTTAGGTACTACGCCACCAGAGCTCCTTTCTTCAAATAGCCATTTTAATTTTAAAACCCTGAAGTATACAAATTACGGTCTTTAAAAAAATAAACAACAACAACAAAAGCCTCAAATACAGGAGGAAACTAGGATTTCCCATCACATGAAGATAACCAATGCCTGTGCATTGGTTCCCAGAATTTGATTTTTGCAGCAATGTGCTGCCTTGATGGCCACTTGTCAGTTGTGGGATGACATCAAGGACATCATACATGAGCAAGCAAAAAGACAAGAAAAAGGAAAGAAGGAAAGAAAAGATCAAAATGGATACCAGAAGAGACTCTGAAACTTGCTCTCGAATGCAGAGTAGCTGAAGCGAATGGAAGAAATGATGGCGTAAAGAGCTGAACAGAAAATTTCAAAGGGCGGCTCAAAAAGACAAAGTAAAGTATTATAATGAAATGTGCAAAGACATGGAGTTAGAAAAACAAAAGGGAAAAATACGCTCGGCATTTCTCAAACTAAAAGAATTAAAGACAAAATTAAAGTCCTGAGTTGCAATACTGAAGGATTCAATAGGCAAAAAATTAAGACACAGGAAGCATCAAAAGATGACGAAAGGAGTACACACAGTTACTGCACCACAAAGAACTGATGTTCAACCATTTGAAGATGATCAAAACCCAATGGTACTGAAGGAAGAAGTCTAAGCTGTACAGAAGCCACCGGCAAAAAACAAGGCTCCAGAAAATGATGAAATAGCAACTGAAATGTTTCCAAAAACAGATGCAATGCTGGAAGCAGTCATCTGTTCCAAGAAATCTGGAAGATAGCTATCTGGCCAACCAAGTGGAACAGATCCATATTCATGCCCATTCCAAAGAAAGGTGGCCCAATGGAATGTGGAAATTACTGAACAATATCATTAATATCACGTGCAAGTAAATTTATGCTGAAGATAATTCAAAAAATAGTTGCAGCACTACACAGAGAACTGCTAGAAATTCAAGCCAAATTCAGAAGAGGACATGGAACAAGGAGTATCATTGCTGATGTCAAATGAACGCTGGCTGAAAGCAGAGAATACCAAAAAGATTTTTACCTGTGTTTTATTGACTATGCAAAAGCATTTGACTGTGTAGATCATAAGAAATTATGGGTAACATTGTGAAGAACAGGAATTCCACAACGCTTAACTGTGCTCACGAGGAACGTGTACATAAACCAAGGGGCAGTCGCTTGAACAAAACAAGGGAATACTGTATGGTTTAAAAAACAGGAAAAGTACGATGCATCAGGGTCATATCCTTTGATCATACTTATTCAATCAGTATGCTGACCAAATAATCCAAGAAGATCAACTATTTGAAGAACACAACATCAAGATGGGAGGAAGCTGCATTTAACAACCTGAGTTACACAGATCACACAACCTTGCTTGCTGAAAGCAAAAAGGACTTGAATCACCTCCTGATGGAGATCAAAGAGTACAGTCTTCAGTATGGATTACACCTCAACATGAAGAAAACAAAAATCCTCACAACTGGACCAATAAGCACTACTGTCATAAACAGAAAGGACTTAAGTTGTCAAGGATTTCACTTTACTTGGATCCACAATGAATGCCCATGCAAATAGCAGTCAAGCAACCAAACGATGCATTTCATTGGTCAATCAGTGCCCAAGACCCCTTCGAAAGTGTTAAAAGGCAAAGATGTCCCCTTGAGGACTATGGTGCGCTTGACCCAGGTTATGTTATTTTCAATCGCCTCATATGCATGAAAACTGGACAATCAATAACAAAGAGTGAAGTAGAATTGATGCCTTACAATTATGGGGTTGGCGAGGAATACTGAATATATCACAGATTGCCAGAAAAATCAACAAATATGCCTCGAAAGAAGTACATCCAGAATAATCCATAGAAGC